GACAATGATCCGACTTCTCCGTAACGAAATACGCTCTTCTTCTTCTTTTTCTTGTTCTGGAGCAGATTTCCCTCGTGAGTGTATTGATCGAACACGCATTACCGCCTGCCAAACGAACCGAAATAAGCGACCGGCCCAACGATGTGGGGGATTCATTCACCGGGGAACGCATCATTGCAACGCGCATCGCTCCTCGATGGTAGTCGGCGGTAGTGGATATCGCGCGAGCGAGACCCTCTTTCATCCGACAATCCGTTTCTCGTGCTACACTGCTCACGAGCTCAGCCACTAACGATTATACATCAGCACGAAATCTTAGAAATCATGGCTCAGCGCTGTGGCAGCAGCCCATGCCGCACGCCCATCCACCACGAGATCCACCACCGACATCGGCGACGGTCACAGGGGACGACTTAGAGTATGCAGCAGGAAGCCGAGCAGCAACTACTCCCGCCGCCTTTACTTTTTTGTCTCTGATCTGCAACAAAATGGCACACATACAATTCATTCGCATGCCCTCGACGCGACGTCCTGACTAACGTCAGTTCGCATAGAAAGAAACTTGAAGAACTGAATGGTATAAATATATCATGTGTCACAAATGTAAAAAAAACTTTGTACTTAGGTTTTTGTAAAGCAAACTCTCCGACCCAATAACTGAAACAAAGAATTCATTAGTCATCACAGCAATAATGACTAATTTCTTGCGAAAATTTTACTTGTACAGAATAATTAGTCATCTTCTCAATTAACTTTTATATTATTGAAATTGAATAAATAAAGATTTTTTTTTTAAATGACAATTACCAAATAATATTAAGCAATATTATTTAAACGGTCAAAGAAGTATTCCAATCTTCTTCTCTTTTGTTTATGTGTAATCAATGTGTTCTTTAGACACTATTTAAATGTCCGATTATAAATGCTAATTTTGTTTTGAGCATGGGGATTCATTTGGTATGTTTCATTTGATATTATTAATTTATTTACTGGAAACATGCAGCGGAGTTGGAATTTGCAGGGATAAGAATTGGGAAAACTCACGTTGGTTCAAGAATTAAGACGGTGTTTTTTTAGTTGATGTCATAGTTTTCGGGATCATCGGGCAGGATATACATGTACTCACCGTTAGGAAGAATACCTAGAAAGATGAAATGGGAATAACTGTCGCTTTTTTATTATTAATTTATGTAACGGCATAAGCGTTCAATAAACGAATACCTTCAATCTCTACAACAGAATCGATATTAGTCTTAAGAATCAATGAGAAAAGTGATATAAAATAATTTGGAGTTATATATTAAAAATGTTAAAAACAAAGAATCTAAATACACACAATGTATTTTGTCTGAATGTTATAATATCGTTGGTTATTCTAGATTGAATATAATAAATTTAGTGAGCATAAAGCAGTTATCAATTATTATGCAAACTGTAATAAATTAAATAAATGAAGGAATTATGTGCGTTTCGTGGATTATTTCCGTGTGAATCCATTGTTAGAATGTCAAAGTTTTGTGAACATATCGCAGTTCACTTCATCAGAGCGAGGGGCAGTCCGATACTGAACAGGCTGCTTCTCGTCCTGATGAAGTGAACATTGCAGTTCCCTTCATCAGGGCGAGGAGCAGCCTATTCACAAACGTTGGTATTCTAACAATAGATCTGGAGACGGAGATAACTTGCAAAACGCATAGTTTCTTTGTAGGAAGTATTCGTGGAAATCTCAAAAGTATTAATTAATAAAACACTTAAACAAAATGAATAAAGTGATAAATAAAAGTAATTTAACTCGTCCTACTTTTTTTTATCGTTATCAATTTTTTTGATTGTCTGAAAACACGCGGAAACAAATAATGTATCTCCTAAAAAAACTCTACGTTACTGATACTAGGATTACATGAAAGAGCCAATTTAGAAAGCAGGAAATTTCCATTGTGTTGTAAAGTTGCAACGTATTGTCATGAAGTTGCACAATGCATAGAACCTCAACGATTATCTTCTCCGTCGATCAAAGCTGATTATTAACTACCTGCCGGCATTTTATCCGTCGCATTTGTCGTCGCATCGATTAATAATTAGTAAACGAGTTGCTTATGATAAAGTTGATATTGCGACGTAAGGAAGGAAGAAAAAGGAGATAAATTGTCGGATTTTAGTCAATATAACGTATAACTACTGTCGTTAAATTAAGAATCACCGGAAAAGCTCGCAAAAGCGGAAGTACGCATGCCGGAAGGGGCAGAGAAATTGCAAGGGAAATGCAAAGAGTTGCGAAATATGCATTTTACACGAGATTATATTGACTTCGTACAAATAATAATGACGACGTTGCACAAGAGAAACTGATGATTACCCATTATTTGATGAGACGACTGATTATACCAATTAATATTCTAACTTTCACTCGATTGCACAGTTATCTACGTGAAATCAATAACGATACATGTGATTCTATTTATCAGTGCTTGTGCCGCCATGTAGGATGCGTCAGAAAGCGTAGATAAAGTGCAGATTTAAGGATTTCTTCGAAGTTGTTCTTAATTTGTCGAAAACGTCAAAATAAAAGTAATTTCTTAGCTATAGAGATAATAAAAATGAAAGATTTTTAATCTCTAGTCAAGTTAAATAAAGCTGCAAAATATATCTACTAACAAAATTCATTATTTTACACAATTATAAAAATGTAACAATACATTTCATATTTATATTATAAATATGTACATATATATAACATTTGCATTATAACAATTTCTACTGTATTATTCATTTTTATGTTATATTTATTCATATTAATTTAAAATAAATTTAATTTTAATAGAATTATACTTTTTAATTTAATACTATTTTATTGACTACAACAACTTTTTGACGATATTTTATGATATTTTTATCCAAGGATGTATTTGCAGAAATATATTTACGTATATTTTCAATATATTCCTGCATTCTTGATCGTCCTGTGTAAATCACTATCATTTAATGACTAAATAAAGCTAATTCCTTTTAATTCCGTTATAATGAACATCGATGGAATACGACATTTTCGCTATAACGAAGTGTGATTGAATCTTCGCGTCTAATACGCGGCTTGATGTAACGAACTTTTGGTGTAATAAATTCAATTTGGAGATCCACGGCGGCAGCTCGTTGTAACGAGATTTTACCGTAATAATTACGCAAACGCGTCACGTACCGACGCGATAGATTTAGTTTAGGTTTAGAACAGCGAGTAAACAAATTTAAAGAACGATAACGAGTGAAGATTTAACTGGATATTAATAAAAATGCGGTAGAGTGTGTGTATGTGTGTGCGCAACGTGTTTTATATGGGTCGCAGAGAATTAACCCTTATCCGCGAGTAATTTATTTTTCTCTGAGAATACTACAATATAATATATAAAAGCATAAAATGCACACATAAAAATACAATTAAAAACTGTAATGCACACACACACACATATAATATTAAAATAAAACAAAAAAGAAATTTCTGAAATTTGAAAATCTAGAAAAGCAATGTATCAAATTTTCCTATTAATTCTGGAAATCAATAATTACAATCAATTTCAGTTATTTTAATGACAATAATGGTTTATATATGCATACGTTATGTGAATAAGATTTAATGTAACATAATAAAAAGTAGATACGTATCACCCTTTAATTTTAATAACCTGTAAAGGTGTTTTAATTAGGATTCTTTGATGAAGTTTGTTTCAAACAAAGTTAAAAAAGCAAATTTTGTGCGTGTCTGGTGAAGAGTTTGTCGAGGAAAATGAAGGAAAAGGCATACAAGAAGTTTCGTAACGACCTTCACGAAGGAAGAGATAACATGGTCGCATCTCGCGAATTCACCTTGAGAATTAGGCTCCGGAAGATTCTCTCGCGGCACCAGATGCATCACCGTGGTTTTTCCGAAGGGAAGCCCAAGAGCACCAAGCGTGACATTGCTGTGCAGGAAACGACCCTGGTAGATTAGCCGCAGGATCTCCGCCTTGGCGACCGCCTCCTCTGCCCAGTCTGCAACACCGAGATAACATTTGCAGGATACTGAGAGTTCTCCCCAGCTCGATCCAGCAGTTTGCGAAAAGTTTTCGAAAGTGCCAAAACTCCTCGAACCTTAAAAAGCTGACGCAGATGAAAGTATTTGCAGTAATAAAAAATTACAGTAACGAAATGAGAAGAATACGAGCTCTCCATCGTAAAAATTGAGTGTGAAATTTTCTATAGTTCCATTCTTCACATAATTTTATAATTCTTTGATATTACAATTCAAACTCTTTTTTTTTTGTATCAATTTATTATATATAAAAATGATGAATCAACAGCATTATTTTTATTAAAAATAATTTTGTTCATTAAAACAAATAATACCATTAATGAAACAAATACTTAGGCTCTTGTTTTAATAAAAATTTATTGTTTCAAATACTGTTGTTAAATCAACAAGATCATTTTCAATTAAAATAATGCTATTGAAACAATCTTTTTTTTCTGCGTACCTACATAAAAAGACATCATCATATATATATTACTCTCAATAAAAATTTGTTCTTAAAATTTCCGAACTTTTTGTTAATTACACATTAAAATTTCGAATGTTATGTACATTTTCGTTAATTTCTCACTTTTTTCTGAATTGTTTAATCTCCTTAATTTAAAAAACTTTTAGCAGAGATTCTAATAGATATTCTCGAATACAGAGATATTTTATACAATAATTTTACAACTCTATTATCAGATGACATGGTGGCACATCGACAATGCATGGTAATAATTGTGGGTGGCATCAAATGCTAAATCCCGCTGTATAGTAATTATAATAATAATGTTAATATTACTACGGATTGGTGCAAGCTGATTTCGCAAATGGCAATGACTAACTCACCTTCCGGCCAATTTTCAAACACATGGTGTGCTATATCGCCCGCGGAATCGCTTGGACTGAATAGGAACTCTTTTGTCTTGCCACTGACGAGGATGAGGCGTAGATTTATCTGTAACGTGCAAAAATATTACGGTGAGAGAGATCAATTACAAAAGCAGAAATTTTATACCTAGATACATTTGATTTTAATCCGAAATTTTTTAAAATTCAATTTTTAATTTATGAAGCTGTAAATGGTGTACTCTTTACAGAAAGTAACATTTACATTCAAATTAAATTCCAGATATTTATTTTATCCAAAGTTACTACATTATATAAAAGCTAAAATATAATAAATATTGTATAAAATATGAAATATAATACTTATATTTAATTATATTTTTCAAAATAAATCGTAAAATTTTGCAATAAATGTCTTTTATAACAGCTGTTATAGGAACGAAAGGGTTAAACGAGCATGCGACTTTGAACCAGCATGCGGCAGCTGTGCACCGGCGAAATGATCAGGGACAGTCGCCCCCATGGACGAAGGCGAATTCAATTAACATCAGAGAGGGAGGGGTGCGAAGATCAGGCAGCATAAATAATTAGCAATGACGACAACGACGAAGCTGGACCGGTGTGCGTGCGCGCTCGAAGGGCTCGGCCACGACCGACCGCTCGTCCGTCGTAACCCTTTGCGGTCTCCGTGGTCGCGACAATCTGCTGTTAAAACGTTAAATCATCGTCCCCGAGCGATTTGCATTATCGTCCGGCCGCACGCGAAGCTTCCCCTTGGCATTGCAGAATTTTCGTGCTGGAGACTAGCCGACCGCGACCGGCTGACTGACTGTACTGCAGTATTAGAGCGGGAATAAAATCCGGGTGAGCATACAAATACGAAACCGTAACGAGAAAAGCGCACCGAAACATCTACGAATACGTTATCCGTTTTTCTACCCACTACTAATTTGATCATCTTCCCGTGAAAGCCTTCTGGGCGAGGGGGAAGAGGGGGTGGATTTGCAAATACCGAGCAAAAGTAGGTTTCAAGGAGAATGGAATTTCCATAGGGATACGCATTTTTCGCATGCGCTCTGTACGAAAATCGTATATAAGGATGGAAATTTTAAAGCCGGTTTTTCCTCCGGAGCGATGTTCAATAAAATTCTTGTGGAAAGTTTAACTTGATATCGTTCCACAAAATTTTTTAGTTTTTGCATTAAACCTGTTAGCAATGTCAAATGGTTCTTATATCAATAGAATTTCTTCGTGTAGCTTTTTTGTAGTTGTCAATTTTTACTGCGAAAAATTCTTTCGTATGTAGTTTGTTTTAGATTATATGCATCTATATACGGTGTATGTGTGTATGATTGTGTGAATAAATATAATTTCTTTTATTCATCTGTACAATTACTTCGTCAGAAATTTTTTTTACGTTTATAAATAGACCACTTAAACAAGCTAACATACAAAAAGCTGTATATGCTTTTATACGTATAAAAAATTGCTTTTATTTGAAAGAGGTGTGTGAAAACCCAATTGCGCAGTAAAATTTTCTATGTATTTATGGAGAATATTTACAAAGTACGTTGCAAAAATATAATGTAATGAAATTGTAGTCAAACAAATAATCTTTATTTAAAGTAGTAAGCAATAGGGCAAAGTTGTTGAAAAAATCTCTCTCTCTCTCTCTCTCTCTCTCGTACTTCATCAATATTTTATATTAATACTCACGGATGAACTACTCTACTCGCAATGTTTTAGAATTTTCTGAATTTTCAGACTGCCTATGTCCCTTGTGAGGTGACTAGTTCTGTGTTCCACTCGAGTACAAATTGCTGCAAGTTTTTATTCGCAATGCAAAACCACGTTTTCTATTGATTAATCGATCGAAAGAGCGCGACCAACAGTTCCGACAATTCGTTCATTAGTATCCAATAAGGGGGGAATAGAGAAAGACACTCTGTGTGTGTGTGTGTGTGTGACAGAGAGAGAAAGAGGAGCACTTCACTTCTGTTGATTTAGAATTTTAGGCTCACCGAGCATGCACAGAAGAAGTGGTCCTCTCTCTCCTTAGTACATGTAACAGACTCTCGAAATCCTCTCCGAACAGACTCTCTCCAAATCCACATGTGCGAATTCACGAAAGACGCAAGAGGGATTTCCGCCGAACTTTAAAGAGACTTATTCATGCACCAGTCGATTATTCAAGTCACATTGCTCGAAATCGCACATCTGTATATACCACAAAATCTTTTGCGTTCCTTTTCTCAATCGTTCCTCATTTATTTATGTATATAATATAGTCAATATTATTATATTTTTATGTTCTATTGTGTGATATCTTTTAAATTATTTAAAATACAGTAAATGCAGTTTTATACATAAAAAAAGATTGTGATATATTTTTCGTGGTTGAACATGCGAATAACATTGTCCAATATATTTTTTAGATATTTTAACTCAAAGTTAACAAAAAATGTTATTTTCAGTATTTTTAAATTCCTCGAAAACCTGACGTGATAGAGCAATCTCATTTACGGATTCGTTTTCAGTGACACAAAGTCTAAAAGAATCGCTTGGTTCCGTTGGTGGTTTAAAGTCCGTGCTGGACAGTGTAATTTATACAGGAGAAGCCTTGAATTCTAAACAGAAAACAACTTCTAAGCATTATAAAAATGAAGCAATTACACATTCTTAATAGGTCACTCTATATAACGGACACAGTTAATGCTGCAGGTACCATCACCTGGATATCTAGCGATGCGAATCTAATGATGTCACCATTGTCAACGACAAAAGAAACGAATATTTCGTTTCTTTTGTCACGCACTGTCTGATCAAACTTTCGCTGCTTTCACCTCGCGGAAAAAGCGTAATGAGTCATTTGCAAAAAAGAAAGAACGACCGAGATTTTATTCTTGAAGAGTTAATTCTGTATTCTATTAAATAATTTGGACACAAATGTTATTTGGAATACTGATATTATTAATAAAAAGATAACAAATATATTATAATTATTTTAAAAAATAATCATCAAAAACACAAGAATACAATTTTAAACAATTTAATCGTAAGTCTGTATGATAAACTTTGTAAAATGAAATTATTCCTGTGAAATGTGCCTTACATTAAAATATTATGTAATAGTAATTAGTTTAAATCGAAACCAATATATTTTATCGATAGAATCGTAATTAACTTTCACTTTTGCACATGAAAATGTTTCACAAATCGCTGAGTTAATGAAAGAGAATCTAGTTTCAAATATATTGAACTTTTTCGAAAATTTTACACTATTATAGCTTTAAGGGAATCTGTGCAGATTGCAAAATTTTTTCATTCGATTAAAATACGTACAAAAAAGGCGGGAGACTGTTGATTTAATGAGAAAATCAGAAAAAAGTTAATAAGTTGTGTAATAATATTAAATGTAATTTTTTATTTTCGATCCTTTCTCGATTTTCTTGTTGAATCGAATGTCTCGCACCTTTTTTAATGTGTATTTTTAATATATAAAAGATTTTACAATTTGTACAATGTCAATTCGAAATATTTTTTAATTTTGCAATGTCGATAATTTTGTCACTTCAGGATCTCCTTAATGATTAACTTTTTATGATTTTAATTATTAATAATTAATTATAAAATAATGCCATGATTATTATTATTATTATTAATACTAAAGAATATGTTTTAACAACGTTTGCCGAGCTGGCTCCCCCCTCACTTAACTAAATTTTAATAAATAAATTATATAATAATGCGCTATTTATGTTCTCAAAATCTACAAAAAAAGTTTTTGCGCTCATTCTGTTTAGCTAAAAAATTGTTTGTGAGGGGGAGGGGGGCCAACTAGGGAGACGTGTTTTAACATATTTCTGTAAAAATCGTACAAGTTTTATACAGAAATTTAATATTGTAACAATATATTACTTCTAATGTTATTCTTTCTAATAATATTATACGTTGTTCTAGATCTAGATTGTTAATTAAACTAGAGCATTATATTTTTTATAGTATTTTTTGTAATATTTTTTATAGTATTTTTTGTAATATTTTTTATAGTATGTAGAGGTTGGACTTTATTCAAGTTTACAAAAAGGGTAAGGATGTTAACTCAAGTGCGGATGTTATAAAAAGGCTGAGATAAATCTTTGAGCGAGTGCCGGATGGCGGATAATCGTTTTAAGACCTGAGTTCGACACGCAACTTCGCGATGAGTTTCACTAACTTATAATCTTAAAAGTGGAATCGCCTTAAATTAACCCGGCGGATAATAGCCGAAGCTCTATCAGCCATCAAGTTGCACGTGGATGTGGAAAGTATAATGAACGTCTCACTACCTTTCTAATGAAACGGATAAGTGGATTAAGAAGCTAATGTGCCATTTAAAACAGAATCGTAGGCTGATGTGATCTTTTTTCTTCATCACTGAGGTCGTAATCGTTCAGCTCATGTCTAAAAATAATGTCACATATTGGCATATATACGATATCTTCTTTTTTTAAACTCAACTTTGTAAATAAGAGAAGCACCACTTATGATCAATATAGATGTTGGAATAATACATGTGTATGTATTTAAATAAAATCTTTACATCAGATATATATGACGTGCCAATTCTTTTTCGGATTCGCAACACAATCAAGTTATACAATAATAATTTCTCCAAATCAAATTCAATCAGAGATTGTCAATTTGATGCTTGACCCCTCATTATTAGTCGAAATTTTTCGCAGTAAGTTCTTTATAGATTTTTAAAATATTAATAATATTAAATCAATGACCTAATTTTTAGTTTATTACAGTTATTATCATTGAAGTTTGATTGCAAGTCTGAAAAATAATTGATGCGCAGTCGTATATATATGAGGTATATAAATTTATTTAAATATATATACTCTTTTTAAATTCTTCAGAGTGGAATTCACCATCTAAAGAGTGAAAATTATACCATGAGTCTTGAAAAAGAGCTCAATTTTCAATCTTTAAAAGAGAGAGTGAGGTTCACTCTAAAAGTTTTATAAAGTAAGTACATGTATCCATCTGACTTTGACGTAAGTGGTTTTTTTTGCTCAATTGTTGATTTATTAATTTATTCATATGACAGTCTTCTTTTTATCT